TTTTTTACAGTGGCCCTAATCCTCTTCCCAACCACAAAACATTACAACCAAATCTAAAAGCAATAGACAATGTGTGTAGACATTAACCCTATCACATTTTTCAAGAAGTGCAGTAAAAGTTACATCTGATTAAAGAACGTGTCATATTTAGGGGGAAAAATGCTATACAGAAATCTGAAGTATTCAGTGCTTTATTGTAAATGTTGGTTGCATCTTTAAAGAACAACCCTAAGTGCAATTAATTTTCCCTGATGCTAACTATTGTTGTTTTGTTAAGTTATTAAAAGAGTAAACTAGTGGTATTTCTTAGCTACTTTGTAAATCACTTCAGAAAAATATACATTTTGTTGTTCAGCCTTAAAAAAAACCTAAATCAGGCATGATGGATAAAGCATTTACATTTTACAATATTACTTTTATTATCTTAAAACAAATATAAAGTAGAATCAGTTTACATCAAATAGCACTGTGCATCTAGGTCACTTAAAAGTGGCACAACATGTTGGCACAGTATTAAAACTTGTGTGCAAAACATTTACATGAGCAAATCTACTTAAAAAAGGGGGCTACACTAAAAACTGTTTACTGCTCATGCCTATGGGTTAGCAATGCCTTTATAGCCCAAATGTCACTGCCAACAACCACCACATAATTATCAACTTCTTCAAGTCATAGGCTTCCAATTGCTTTGTTATTAATACTTTAACATTACTTTTTCTGAGAACCAGAGGAAAAGATTACCCTCTGTGTAAGCAGTAAAACTACTTTTAAAATTAATTTGTAGATTCTAGGCCAATTTAACTGGCACAGTTTGAAAATTGAAATGTAAACTATAAATCCCCATTTGTGCAGTACATAGTTCAGTAAAACGTAACTGTTCCTCCATAAAATATTTAGTGCATTTATTGCACACATTTTAAAATGATACACTGGCTCAGAACATGAAAATAAATTAACAGTGAAACCTAAGTGCCCAAAGTTATGCTGTGGATTTGTGAAAGACTTTCTTCCAGTTCTTTCTGAGGTGCAGGTGACACTTGTCAAGGCTGTGCTGCAGCTCTGCTAGTAGCAAGAGCTGAATGAATACGAACATGGAGCCTGTTCTCAAAGTCATACCCAGCGTAGTCCTCCTATACAGTCCATGAAAAGAGACAATAGTAAGTAAACTGTTTTGCTGCTTTTCTGCCCTCTAACAACCTTTCCAGTCAGCAATACACTCACTGCCCGATCAGGTAGCAGCAATCCCTTTAAACATAAGCAGACTGCTCAGCTCCTCCACGGTGCTCTTATCACAGCACTGTATCTGCTTAGGTATGCAGAGCTGGCTGTTCCAGCTGCAGCAGAGAGACTTGAGATCTGCTGCTACCGCACCAGACATCTCCAACACAGTTTAGATGGGTGAGTCTGCACCCAGTGAACAACTGGCTATGCAGATGCCGTTTACTGTACCTGTGTAGACACCAGCTGGTGTAGTCTTTTGGAGCTAGCTAACTTTTCTTTAACGCAAAATGTGTTGATACTTGCTACTCTGGGCCAGACTAGTCAGTCAGCTCACTGGATGGGATATGGGATATGGGCTGCTTTGCTGCGTCGTGACTTTGTCAAATGATGCAAATGCCCTCTCCCTCAGGGCCCAGAACATCCCCCGTTTCCTCAACACAGGGAGAGAACATGAATTGTGACTGTGTTTGCTCACTTTCAGGAGTGGTGGACAAATTTCTTAAATCAGAGCCTCCTGGTCAGGCAGCTGAGTGGGAGATGACTTTACTGATGGATGCACAAACCCACTTTACATCCATGGCCTACAGAGTTTGCTGCCACTATTTTTTTTTGAAGATGGCGTATTGCCATCAGCTCTAGTGTAATACCTAGCTGACATACTGTACTCTGTTTACTGACTTTAAGGGGAACCAAGCAATGGACTTTACTGACATATTTACTTGTTATGCAATCGCCTGATCAGGTAGTGAGTGTACTGATCTGGCCCTGACTGGTGAGATGGCAAATAAGAAAAATAAAGCAGATAGAGAAACCTACTGTACCTTGGCCTGAAGCATTAGCATTTGGCCCTTCCCTGCAGACTGAGGGGAAAAGAAAGTTAAATATTCAGACTAAAGTACTTCTCCATCTCAGATAAGGGAGACGATTTCCCTCTCTATCCCACACTTGTAGACACAAAAGCAACTTACCTCTGGGGCGCTCAGCAGCACACAGCCCAGTTCATAGCAGGAGTAGGGCTGCACATAAGAGTTGGTCACATGACCGACCTCGTCCCTCATAGCCAGATGGAAAAACTGCAAACAAATAAAGTCATGACATACTAGATAGAATCTCTTCCAAACCTTCATTTCCACCAGGCACAGCTGTGATGCGTTTCCAAAGCATCCCAGATGCAGCTCTCCACTCTGCTAAGAAAATATGCATCTAGTCTATTTTTGACAGGTGCCACTTCTGACAGAAGTTCAACCCACCAATCAGGTAACACTTTCAAATTAGCCTAAACAAAATATCAGCACCACAGTAAACCACTCCACAGCCGCTCATGGTGGGGGGGATGAAGCCACACAGAAGATGGATCAAAACCGCATCTCAGCATGACAGAGCCACAGCCGGTGGAAATGAGAGGCAAGTATTAGCGCCACAGTTTTCGTTGTTGTGTAAGGAATACACCGTTTAAACATGAGAACCCTTTTAAGTGCAGCTGATGAGAATACCTCAATGGCATCTTTGGTATTATGAAGACATTTATTTATGGCACCAAGAAGCAGGTTTTTCAGGCCTGCACAGGAGGCATCATCAATCCCCTGCAGGACTGCAACAAGATACAAAATATCCAATAATGCAAACAAAACTCACACCAGTATCTATGACATCAATGAAACACTTAATTGCCGAGTACCTTGTGTCATTGCCTGGAGCTTGGCGATGGAGCAGTTTGGCAGAGCTTTCCACAGATAAAGTATCTCAATCACAGACAGAATGCAGAGTTCTTTGGACAGACTGGGGCTCTTGAGCTTCTCAGACTGATTAAAAAGTGAGCATATATATATACACACATGAATCACTGATTGTGGTTGCATTCTGTGGTACAAAATCAGCTGGATACATACCCTCTTCAAGGAGAACATCTCTATCTGATTATTCTTGCGTTTCAATAGTTTTTTAACATCCGTGAAGACAGTGATAGCTCTCTCCAGCTCACCTGTGGCTCCTTGGCAAACTATACAACACCATAACATTTTCGGTCATACAAGTTAGGGGCCAATACAGAAGTCAAAAGAAATGCCATTAAAACCCAATTCAACTGAACTGGTATTACCTGCAGTTAAATAGGCGTAGTAGCACTGGGACCAACGAGACTCTGACTTGAGTCGCTCAAAGGCTCTGTAGGCTTCTCTGTAGTTCAGTTCGATCATGCTGCACCAACCTAAAATGTTCAACTATCAGAAATTATGATGCAGACTAGCGTTAAGTGAGGTGTTTTAAAATCTGTGAGGGGAATATAGTACCTATTTCATATAAGCACACGTGCTGAATCTCCCTCTGGTCAGAGGCCAGCTCTAAGGCATCACTGAAGGATGTCAAGGCACTAGTGATCTGGCACTAGAAAGGGGAACTTGTGGTGAGTTGCAGTTTCAGTGAAACCAAGCATAGGTTTCTAAAGTCACAAGAATTTGCCACAGATGAGAAGATAAGGTTTAATTTTAGCATGTACTTACCTCAAGGCGTTGGACTCTGCCCTTGAAAAACATGAAGAGGGAGGAGTTTGGGTAGACAGCCTCCCTTTGCTTAAGGATGGATTTGGCTTCCATGAGGCCTGACTGTGTGTCTGAGCAATCCAGAGCAAAGAAGGGCTGTGCTACTGTGTGGTACCACAGGAGGGCCAAGCTGCAAAGGAAGCACAGACACTGTAATGAGACACTATATAAATACAGAGATCCCATCAAGGAGAGCAGGGTTGCTGCACACTTTAAAATCAAATTTAAGACTTCTCTACCTTTAAGAATAGGCTTAAAACTTTCCTTTTTGATAAAGATAATTAGGTTGATATAATATACATATTTTTATGGATCTCTATATTATATACATTCAGTTACCAGTTTAGTAGGCCCACAAAAAAATGAGTGCAGCATAATACAACAGTTCTACCAAAGTCATAATAGTTTATAATTTGTTACATTTTTGCATGACAGCACTTCTCTCCAGTAGTCATGTTTCTATTACTTTACTACTGTATATTGTTTATGGCTGTTTGTGTACTCACTCACATACTCACGTAGCTAAGGGGGCCTTCATGTCCTTACTTTCACTGGCGTACGTGAGCGCTGACAGTCCTTGAAGACGGTCACCGGGGAAGCCCAGCAGGTTGACAATCTTCAGCAGGTGCGGTGGCACCATAGAGATACAGAGGTGGAAGAGGCCGTAACCAAAGCTGACTGAACCCTTTAGACGATCCAGAGCCTCTGGGCTGATGCCGTCAGGTCTCTGGGGGGGACTCGATGAGCGGCTGCACTTGGACGGGTCAGAGGAGGACGACAGAGATGGAGGCGGCATCGCTTGTTGTTCTGAGACCCTTCTTCTGCTTCCCTCCTGTAAATGTGTGATGTCGCTGTAGCACTTATTGTACATCTTCCAGGCTTTACGGAGGATCCAGCCTCCTTTGATGTATCCTGTCGGGTGATTGAAGTGGAGGTCAGAGAAATAGAGACAGCTGTCCTTTGCAACAACATAACAATGTTTAAAAAAAAACACAAAAAAAACTAATCCTGTTTTCCATCCTGTAATATTCAACTACAGAACTGCAAAGTTCATTATCATACACTCTTTATAGTTAACCAACAAATACTATGAGTTTCCTTACCTGACAGTTCTTGTTTGATGAAAGACAGCACTGCAAGGTAAACCTGGCAGTCTGCAATAATGATCTGCCTCTGGAGTCGGTCCACTGCTGCCACCCCCGACCTCTGAGAGTCCACCTGCCCACACAAATACGTCACGCATGTAACAACACCTGTTGGCAAGCTAATAAGCAAACTGGGACACTGTGGCACCTTTTCAGGCAAACTGTTTGTTCTATAAACATCATATAAAGAACACAATCCATTATCATAAGTGGTGTTGTTGATATTACTCACACTCCTCTTAATCTTGTTTTTAATGGTTTCAATGACTCCAGTGTTTTCACTCTCGCACAGCCTCTCTGTAGCTTTCAGGTCCTCGAAGGCCATCTGCATTTTCTCCTCTTCAAACGTCATCATGGCATTCTGCAAACAGACAACACTGTATTCAGTTATAGCCAGAATGCTAGTCATCCAGTAATCCTGGACTGCACCTGGGATTAATCCTGGAGTCTAGAAAGCACGAAAACAAAATCAAACTCTACTACCCAGTCTTCTGTTTCAGATTTCATACAATATGTAGGACTCCTGTAGTTTTCCTATATGAAGAGAGAATTGCCTATGGAATATTAAAAGCAGATAATATGAAACAAAAAGTTAATTTGAACTTTTTTGTGATTTAATTTTTAAATTAAAATATTGGCAATTGTCACATGTAGTTAAGTTAAGACAAACTGACCAATCAACCTTGTGATACTATTGAAAACTCCAGCTCCGGCTCTTGTTTCTTTTAAGTATGAACACACTTGTTGAAGCAAACGCTGAACTAATTTAATGTAATGCAATAATTAAATAAATCTGGCTTAAAAAAATGATTATAAAAATATCATTCCAGTGTAAACCTTTACTCAGTCAGTCATACTTCTGCTGTAGTGACATAGAAAATGGCTCTGCATCCACCAGGAACACAAGGGAAATTCCTTCAAGTGGAACTTGATCTTAGTCAGCATCTGAACCAAAAGCAAAACTGTACCGTGTTGAAGTTGCTTCTTGACTCACCAGAAAACTCACAAAACTGGTCCCAAAACTCATCAAAGGACTGTAATTCCTGAAACAGAGGATAGAGAAAAGGTATACAACATGCCAGTGAGAGACGTACTGAACAAGCATTGTAGTGGCAAGGCGATAAATTAAAAACAGCATGATCTACAGTGTCAAGCGCTGCTGTAAGACCTAAAAGCACCAACCAAACAGAGGTTTTAGCATCAACCAATAAAAAGAATGCTTAAAACTGAGTAATGCTGACTCTGTGCTATGCTGTCATCTAAAACCTGACTGAAATTTTCTAATAACTTATTTTCTTATAGAAAAGGTTGTAATTGCCCCAAAATAATCATCTCTAGGACCTTAGAGTTTGTGTCAAGTCTGTTTTGTGTATCAGCAATTGGACTGATTCACTGTGAAAACACGAACAAGCTGAGGCAAAAGGTGACTGCAAACGTAACCTGACTCACAGAGATGTGGTGATTTCAGCGGATGGTGGTGATTGGTGGTGGAGCAAGACTGAACCTCTTTATACTTCATCTCCTACGTCCATAATTTAGCATGCAACGACAACTTAACAGCACCAGTAGAAAACTGGGTAATACAGGCAGTCACTTCTCAGTTGTTGTGTAAGCGCCTTTTACTTTCCTTAGTCTTTTTTGCTGATGCAATGAACACAGGATGGCACCTAGTGCTAACCGCAATTAGTGGGAGAGGTGACCTTTAAGCTTCCACCTGGGGGGTCAGGACACATAGGTGCTGCCCTTCTGCAGCATCAACATTCAAGTTGAAAGCAAATCCATCCCAGAGATAATCAGCCTTGGGAATAACAGCACAGCACGACAAAATCCTGCAACCAGCAAGTTGGCTCTGGTCAGAGGGCCCCAACCTTTTAGACTTATGAACCATTAAAACAAAATCCTGTCTACTAGTGACCCATTTATAATGGGGGCAAACAAAAAGTGATTTTTTTCCCCCCTCAGTTTTATTTGAAAGGGCCTCAAGAGGTAAAAAATGTATAACTGATTCACAAGAAAAGGCAAAAGGTTGTCTGTAGAACAATCCTGTTATTGTCTCACATACAAACAGACTGGGGAGACACCGCCTCGGGATGAAACCCACTAGTTAAGATGACAGTTTAATCTTTACAAATGCCAACTGATTCTGCAAAACGAGCCTCAGCAGTTGCAGCCAACCAGCTGATATGTGGTTGTGATGTATGGAGGCTGGTTAAATGACAAATTTAACACAAACATGTTCAAACCTGTTTTCAGCTTACTATGACCTGGATGACTGAGAATCTGCACAGACAAACCTGTTCAAAGTAACTGAAAGCCAGTGAAGTGTAATGACAGAAAAGTAAACCTGCGAAGCACCTTTTCACTGGAAACATATACACGAGATGGTCACAACAAGTGGCCTACAGTAGTCTGTCGGTACACAGAAAGAACATTCAGTCATTAGACTGTGTTGGAGCATCAGTCACATTCCGGGTGTGGATATTTGTTCAGGGGAACAAGTTTAACTAATCCTGCTGGCGACCACACCGTAGTGTTGCACTCTGCAGGCGTGACAACAATGTTGGGGGTTTGGCTTATACTTAAGGTGGTTGACAGCAGTTTGGAGACATTAGACACACCTGTCCTAACATTTAGCAATGCCCTATGGAGCGTATTACAGTACGACTGAAATGTGTCTAAAACAATCACTATTAACTGCCAGAACAGACACCAGAAGGTTGCCTTTATCCTTGATGACGTGCACAGACCTGTACGTCTTGAAGAGCTCGTCGCTTTCCTTGAATCCATTGTTGAGAAGCATATTGATTCCTTTCAGCGCCAGCTCTGCGTCGTTGATACGCTCCGTATTTTCCTCCCCCACGTTTCCCAGTGCTGGTTCCGCCGGGTCCGCCATTGAGACAACCGATACCGGAGATGAGGAACTGAACACAGCCGGCGAGATGCAGGGAGTCGACGTGCGGTGTCTGGATAGTTTAACGTAGTTATAGACAGAAGAGTCTCAGCCAATGGCGCAGTTTTGGACAAACGCAGTTAAGCACATATTCCATTAGGAGAATAATAAGCGACCAGGTTCCGATAACTAACCACTAAAACATAGTCTTCTAAACTAGCCACCACCAGCGGTTGTGTTGCTATTCCGTATTCTGCCGCCTGACCGGTGGTTCGCATGTTCCTGTGCAGACAGGAAATGTGCTGCTTTCAAGTGCTATCGGAAGCATCGGACTCCCAATCAGACGAGACGACACTGCAGCAGACCCACAGCAATAATAGCTAAGACTGATTTTAAAAGAAGAAAATCGAGAACCCACCAATTGTAGAACTGTGAATTCGTTATATGCTCCTCTTTTATACTCTATACATAATTTGTCACATTTGTCAAAAAGCTGCACCATTTAAGTAAAATATCAACAATAACTATTATTATTTCCAACCCAATCAACATATTGTGAGGTAGAGGATTTAATCAAAAAATGTGATAAAATTAGATATTGGGTTACAGTATTGGATGTGTCGTTGAATTAGGTGCAACACGTATATGCATAATTTTATAACCTTCACTCCGAAAGTCATAAAAGTACTGGAAGGCAGCATCTGAGTGGGCGTGGTATGTTTTTTTAACATCCAGTCAGCCAATGGGGATTGACGTACAGGACAGACATGGCTGTAAACAAAACTCAAGTTTCCATTAATCTAATAAGAATATTGCGAACAGTTTGAAAACAGTGAAAGAAAACCTGGTTGGAAATGAAATTGCTCAACACCAATTTTTCAAAACTAATGGAAATTAAAGTTGTTTTTTTTTTTATGAATAACACTGGAATGTAGTCATATCGAGATAAATTGATATTATGGGTACATTTGCAATGTGAATTACAATTTTCGAAAACCAAAATTAAACATGAAACCTATTCATAGAAACAGAAACTTATATTTATATAATCCTAAAATCAAAGTATACACCTTTCTGAGTATATTTCAACAATAAATCCACCATAAATGAAACAAAGTGAGTTGTCCGCATGAAAACAAATCAAGATATTTTCAAAAACCTACTTATGGCGCTGAGAACATTACTTGGAAAGACAATGTGGTTTACAAATCAGTGTTCACAACACAGGAATGCATGTACAAATATGTGCAATCATGCATTTTTTTCCACATATCACACATTTTTGGCATAAATGTACAAAGCAGAAAAGTAAACATTTGCTGGGGAATTTAAGTATGTCAAATACATTTTTGTTTTTGTGTAAATTCCTTTTAATAGTGCAGTAATATGGGCTGAATGGTCCCTAATGTGACTGACCAAAATTTCTAGACTTATTCTAATGGAATATTGTTGTTGTTGTTAACTTAGATACAAAATCGTTGTTTTCTTATGCAACTAACATTAACAGCTGCACCAAAAACCTTCATGCATGCAAAGGGAATGCAAGATTGAAAATTAATTCAGGATAAAATGAATGCAATCTAGGAAAAACCATGTGTCTTCATGGCTTCTGTGAAGATGCCATGTTGGTTAAACCAGTTAAAATCCAGAATTGTACATACTGGCATGTGAATTTGAATATAAATAGTGTGGAAACCCCTGAATGCCACTGAATTGAGCACCATGGGTGTAAACTTTAGAGTCCAACAAACAAAGAAAAAAAGAACATGAGTTAATAATGTTCATCTCCATTGAAGCACCATCACAAGAAGCACTATTTGTATTCTTAAAGTGCTGAGTTTCTCAAACTGCAGTGCTGACAGATCACAACCATATTCAGTAGGATTTGGTTGTTGACAGAGAATTAATGGACCAACATATCAGACTGTAAAACTGTTAGAATATGCATTCATGAATCAGTGCTGAGATTTTATCACAAAAATACAGAAATGTTTAACAGAACAGCAATAATTTTGAATTTGTAAAATTCTGCTCATACACTCATATTCATAAACTCTTTCTCTCACTCACACACACACACACTGAAAGACACTCCTCAAAATATAAGTACAGCATGGCCAAGAAATGTAAATGGACCCTTTGGAATTACAGTATTTATGTACAATTTTATCTTAAAATATGGTCAGATCTTCCTCTAAGTTACAAATAAAAACAGTTTATTTGAACTAATAATACACACCTCAATGTATTGTTCTTATACTACATATGTTCATATTTACATACTGAATACATCATTCAGGCATTCACAATGTAGCTTTAAAAACATGGGAACACCTAGGCTAATGATATAAAAACAATAGGAGTAAATGGACAATAGGTTAAATGGAGTCAGGAATTAGCAAACCTGTAGTCCAGTCAAAGAAACACAACTGGAGGTGTGGGTTAGAGCTACATAAAAGAAAAATCAGCTTAAATGAATCACTGGCGCTGACTACCATCTCTGTTCATGAGTCTACCATATACAAATCATGGTGCATAGCTGAATGGAGCGTGGCGTGCATGGCAGGACACTAGAAAGGAAGCCCCAAAAGCACATATTAAGCACTTTGGTTTGTGGACTGATGAAACTAAGGTTGAATTGTTTAGGAAGAACACACAGCACCACATATGGTGTAAAAAGTGCACTGAATACCAACATGAAACCCTCATCCTAAAGGTGAAGTACACTGGGTGGAGCATCATGATTTGGGACTGTTTTTCTGCCTTTGGGATTGCACAGCATGCCATCATCAAGTTTATCATGGTTTCTCACAATATAATGTCAGGGCAGCTGTCCACCAGCTGAGGCTCAGTAAAAGCTAAGTGATGCAGCAGGAAAGTGATCCTTAACGTGAATGTAGATCTGCTACATAATGACTTCAGACCAAGAAAATCTGCCTTTTGGAGCGACCCAGTCAGAGCCCAACCTCAACCCAACAGAGATGTTATGGAATGACAGGGAGCCATGCACACTAGACACCCTAAGAACATAGGCTGAAGCAGTTCTGTGAGGAAGAAAGGCCCAGAATTCCTCCTGAACATTGTGCAGGTCTGAGACACAGCTACCAGGAGTGCTAGTTTGAGGTTACTCCTGCTAAAGCAGGTTTAGCCAGTTATTAAAACCAAGGCTTCACTTAAAGTATTTTTTTCACCTGCACTGACTGTTTAATTGGTGTGTTTAATAAAGAAATGCAAAATTTAAATTGTTTGTTAATAGCTTAATAAGCATTGTGTTTTTCTGTATTTGTTACTTAGGTGAAGGTCAGATCACAATTTCAAGGGGTTCACATACTTTTTCATGCCACTGTACATTCTTACACACCACCATATTCTCAGTCTTGGTAACAGATTGCACATGGTTGGCAGAGGACCTGGTCCCAGGGTTTGTTTACTGATGATGCAGTGAGGCGCTTGTGTTCAACCTGGACACTCTTTGATGTTGACAGGACCAAACAGACCAGAAAGCTTCTCAAAAGAGATCAAGTCCCCATTGATCCTCATGTCCTGGATGCATCCCACAAACGACGATGTGACGGGGAGCATCTGCTGCACTGACGTCTCTGCAGCAGACAGGTACATGGAGTGTGACCTGGTGATCTCATTGTTTCAACATATTTTACTGTTAGCTATATGGATTTGTTTTCATACATAAACATATGGGGATTTGACAACTAATTGCATGTTACCTAACATCAACTTGGGGATATAAATTCTATTTTTTTCTTCAAAGCTAATGTTTGCAAAAAAATCTGAGAAATTTGTGACAAAAGGCAATTTCTTCATATTACACTGGATGAAACGTCAACGTTTTGTTGAGAAAACATTTTTATTGGTGGGATTTATAAAAAAACAAATTTAATAACTAGGCTAAGACTAATATTAGCAGATTAATACTCACCAGGCATGCCGCCCACATACAGGGGGTCTTTGGTCAAAGTGGTAGTGGAAGCTGGTGGTCCAATCTTGTAATTGTCTGTGGTGTCCACATGCAATTGCACAACATTTTTCCTCTTTATTACTAGAAGACACAAAATACAATTTATATCAGTGTCCTCATCTGGTCCTAAAAGCAGGACATCGTTCATGAAGTGACTCTGTGCCTTTTACCTGAAATTTTATGAACCAATCCATCACATAAAGAAGCTTTTGGCTTTACTGACACCATGAATTCCCCCTTTCCATTGTTAACTTGTGCCACAACCTGTAAATGGGAGCATGACCAAAGACACTACTTTTAATGATGCACTTCAAGTAAAGACACCTTTTAAATTTAGATTAAATTAAGAATCCTCTCCTGTTATGTTAAAGCTCCTGAAACAAAAAGAGAATAGAGCAACAAATTAAATAGATTAACCCTTAGTATAAGAGCTGACAAAAAGAGATGCTTTTTCAAAGCCTGCTGAGTATATTTAGTTTTCTAAACATTTAACCAAAGTGTATCTGACAATTTTAATTAAAAGCAAGGAAACAAACAGGCGTATAGTCTACTCTCACCTCTCCTCTGAGCATGTAGATACTGAGGTAGTGCCCCATCCCGGGTCCATATTGGGTCCTGCTGGCATCACCAACATGTAGCAGGAGTCCAGTCAGATTTCGTGGACGAATATTAAACAGCAGCTCAAAGCTGGATCCCACAACAAAGGAGTCATCTGATACAGAATACAGATCCCATCATGAGTGTTATTCCTGGCATTGTTAGGGATATAATTTAGCTTGTAAAACAATGAGGAGCCAGTCATGAAATAAACCCAATGTATCAAGAACTTTTTAAAATAATTTTGTCATGGCTAGAATGTGATACCAATTAAATTAATTCAGACAAATCATCCCAATTTAAGTAATTATTTAATATTACAATTATTCTGAACAGAGTAGTAGTTAAATAGGTAATCTGGTAGTTAGGGAACAGAGAACAGAATCACTCCTCCTGCAATGGAATAGATACAGTATTAAATAAAAAGATTGTCACAGAGTCAGTCAGTCTTGGTCACAAGGTACAGTCAGTCAGAGTCCAGAGTCCAGAGTCCCCCCGGCCAAGTCCAAGCTCACTCTCATGACTGCCGCACCATCCTTCCTTCTTCTCTCTCTTAGCCCACGGCTATCCTAGCCTTTATCTTCTCGCAGTTACACAGCCTTCCATGACCTGAGCCAGAGACATAGTCCCATGCCAGCTCTACACCCCTTCTTCCGAGCATTGTCTAAGATGTCCAATACATGAACTTCTAGGTCACGTTGACCTAGAGCACATTTCCTTTTCTAAACATGAACAGAGCACACGAACTGTTCACATAAGGCTGAAGCTATGTCCATTCCCCATTTAAGGAGGAATTCACTCTGGATGTTTACCCATAAATTAAACAAAGAGGACACTGCCCCAGATATTCTTGCTATAGCAAGAGAAGAGAAACAGATCAAGCTTACATAAACACTTAGCTCACCCTTACATCACCCTTACATACAGTAACTATTACAAATAATATCTATATATATAAACTACATACTATTCTATTACATATTACCTCTGGACTGGAACCTTGTTTGTTTTTAACCACTACAATGTCCTATAAAGTGTACTTGAAAGAACAATCTAATTTGGTACTAATCTGTTTATACTTTACTGGCTAGCAAAAAAACAACAACAACAACAACAACAACAAATATACACAACATTTTAACAATACATTCATATGTATATGGGTTAACTGGATACCTGTGTTCCTGTCACTAAGGTTTTAACTATTTGTCTCTACAAATTTTCTGAACTAACATCACTAACAGAGTCCAATAGAGATTACTGGTACTACTGGAATGTTTTAAGAATGATGTACTCACTGATAATAACATGTGCCCCATTCCCTGAGAAATAAGCCCCTCTTTGTGTCTGTCCCTCAAAGCAGGGGCCAGCACCATGGTTTGTGGTTGGATTTGACATTGATGCTCCGTTCATTTTGAAGTTGCGGACACAGCCGGATACACTTTGCTTCGGGAGGGCCTTCAACTGTAAGTCAAAATAAATAATTAATGATAGACTTTATCATTTGTAAATGAATTTGTATGGTTTGCATGCATGTACTTGTGTGAACTGGTCAATATGTGGGCGTGTTTTACCTTGAGCAGTTTGTGAAGCGGCCCTGGGACACTGCCCAGGTACACAGGTGACATGAATTGCTGCATGGATGCCAATTCAGTACTTGTTAGCTGACCATCCTGGGCTCTGATCCCATCTACAACCAATCGAAATTTCTTTTTCTCCAAACTGAATATCACCTACAAAACATGTTCACCACACACATTTAGAATTATAAAGTGTTCCGATTCTTTTTATAATGTGGATTTTATAATTCCGTGGAAGCAGCTTAAAATTTTTACTTAAGTTTGGTCCAGCATGAAAGTACATGTCATTAGGATTATATGAGTCCACTGACCGAGTGCCACTTTCCATCATTGTATTTCTCCCGATTGAAGATCTCCTTTTGTTTGCCTACAGACAGTCTGATCCTGCCCTTGGACATGTATAAAGCAAGATGAGATTGCCCCCCTCTGGTAGCTGCAAAGAACAACAGTCCTTCAGGAGACCGAGTCTTGACATCCAGAGAGAAGTGTGGTCTGGGGAAGATAAAGAGAAACATCATCTTCAGGGCTTGTGTGTGTTGGCTGTGACAGCCTCAGGCAAGCACGCTTTTATTTAGGTGTGTGTATGCAGGTGTATTGTGAAATAGTGCAGGCAGCAAGGCCGGTTTCTGACCTGGGCTGCAGGACCTGCAGTGGAAGGCTGTAGCTCAGGCTGCTAACAGGGCCCCCCATTCGATAAGCAAAGGGAACTAGGGCAGGCAGTGCACATGCCGATACGCTCTCATTTATCACCTGCATCGCAGCATCCTAAAGCAGCACAAATATGAACAACAGAAACACTCAGCACAAGATACAAAGTTGGTCCTTAACACTTTGACAAGTTTCCAGGAGGGTTCCACTCTGTCAATAAACGAAGATATGATACAAAAGTGAATGGTGCTAAGACTGCTAACAATCACAGTTAATACACCATATTCTATATTAAACTGGGGCTCCACACACATAAAAGTGAGACAGGAGGTTTCAGGTCTGAACCTAAGATGTAGCCACAGCTGAGGACACTTGAGGGTGTGCTACTGAACGAATGTAAAGCTTCAGCTAATGAAAACTTTTTATTCTTCATTTGGTCTATAAATTGAAAGAAAATATGGCAAAATACTCATGAAAATTTCCCAAAACGTAAGTTAACTTATTCAAATTGCTTGTTTTGTTTATTACTATCTTAGAACTAAGGAAACCAGGAAAACATGACGTTTAGAAAATTTGTTCCAGATCAATTATTTTTGTAAATCAACTATTCAACTTCCAGAATGTCATAGTTTGGGTAAATAGCCAAATATAACCCGGTAGTTATGATTTCATTATTCGTTGTACTGATTGTGACAGGTGGTTCAGTACAAATACAGACAAGACACTACTTGTTACTGTAACACTGAATTCCTTCCAGTAGCACAACCTCCTCAGACTTTTTCTTAGTCTAGAGGTGCATTTGATTTCAGCATAGTTAGGACTTTGTGCTTGTTCCGCTGTTCAGTACAACATTTAAGAGTGTAGCTCTGCTATCTTCTGTATGATTTCAGTGATTTTTGTTTAGCATGACAGAGATGAACTTAGAATAGAACTGCAGAGGTTCTAAAATTGTAAAAGGCATTTCTGAAATGACTCAAAAGGTCTTGAAAAATATTAAAAATGGCTAAGGGTTGACTTATGCCACAAGGTCATATTACATATAATATGAGAAGACATAAGTAGGGGAAAAATTCAACATAACCCTTTGAATTTTGGCTTTATGGTCATATTTCCCATCAAGTCTAGCCTGTAATGTAAACTGAATGTTGCACGTCTGTGAACTAATGTAGAGGTTGTGATTTCATTACTCAGGCAATTTATTGTGGGTCAGAAGTTGTTGGATGATAGACTGAGATTGTGATATGGCCTCCTTTAATTAGAATCAAATAACAGAGATTAATAAATGAAGATGGGCATGAAAGATCCACTCTGATCTGATGAAGCAGTGTAATCATGCTTTAGGAACATACAAGGAGAGTGATTATACATTCCAAGTTCCACTAGGCCTCCCATAGTTCACTATGAGGCTTAACACAACTGTGACATGTTTGCATTTCTTGCTTCCAGACTTTCCATACTGTAGATCATTGTACCTCAACCTCAGTGCTGGGATCCCATTTGGGTCTCGAGAGATGTGACACTAGTAATTCTGTTTTGGTTGTCAAATTGAGACAAGTTTATTTGTATATTCCAATATACATGATGTTTGCTGTATCATATGGCTTGTCTGCATGGCCCACAGCAATCAATCCATCATAACAAAATGACATAGGAAAATTTTTATGACAAATTTATTGTAAAAAAAAAAAAGGTTTGGAAAAAAAAGTCCAAAAAGTTTTTAGAAATTCAAATGCAGATCCCATCCTGTTTTCTGGATATTAACTTAATAATTTCTCAATAGTGGAAGTTACTGTGCTCGAGCATCATCATTCCTAATTTTACCTGACAGTGAAATGATCATTTCTGCCCTGTCATTGTCAGGTATGTTATTGTATTAATGTGTCCATTAGGTCTGACAGTAGTGAGTTAGAGGAACGTGCTTGTGAATGACTGTTAGAAAGTGACTTATTACTGAGTTACGTGGAAGAAAGAGAAGAGACATAAAATGATTTCAGGCTTGTTATTCATGGTTTTTCTTTTTGTAGTTATTGGGATTTTTAAATAGAATAAAGAAGGATGAAATACATTTAATAGTTTTTAAGATTATTAGAACATTCATGCAAATGTTTATTACAATATCCTGAAAGGCTTTTGCAAAAGCAGCAGGACACTGTGGTGACAGTCAGTTTTTCATGTCAGTAATAGATTCTTGTCAGCATCAGCAGGTCTTAGGACTCTTCTTCTTCATCTCTGAAAATAAGGCAGCAAAATACAATATAAACAATGTCAATAAAACAAAACCACTGTACAAATGTGAGAGTTTTATAATGGAAAGACTGGGTAAGACTTACTGTTACTAAGTGCACTAAATCACCATCAAGTCATCGTGTTCATAATGTACATGTTCATTTTGATGGTTATACCTTGAAATACGATGGACTGCTCCAGTAATTTAACAATAACATATCTTAATTCAAAGAAAGACAGTCAAGATGATTTGCTTTGGAAATAACATTTCACCTGTTGACTTAACAAAAATTATTAAAACTACTAGAATAAAGGGATTGCTAGCATAGAATACAGTATGTGTGAGCATGCTACACAAAACTTCACCTTCCTAGAAGTGCTGTCTAGCATCAGTTGAGCAAGACTGTCAGCAGTACAAACATCCAGCAGGACATCTCCAGAAGTCTGGAAGGAGCTAAAGTCCTCAGCCTTGTATAGATTGCCTGGCCTGCGAGCAAGAAAAAATAACAGATATAATATAAACACCATACATAAATGTAAACAGATGTGCACAGTCACTGTGTGACTTTAATATATAGTAAACCTGTACATTACATCATTTTGGAGGAGCTGAATTATGCAGCTATGCAGTGCAAAATGAGGAATATATGTATATACCGTCTTGTGTAAAGATTGGACATGCAGCCTTTGAACTTCTCTCTTCCCAAGAACATTAGGTCATTTGTGTTTGGTATGGGTGTGCTGCCGCTCTGCTCCTGTCCCGCATCTTCATCATCAATAAGCAGCTCAGTCCTGTTTGGAAATATTCATCATAATTTTTACTGTAAATTAGCTTTAGCTTCTTCTGGCTGATTTACCAGAGCTGGTTTATTAATTCACCAGTGTTTAATTTCATCTACAGGGCAACATGTGCCCCTGCCTGTATACAGTACTTTGTTTATTGTTTGCCAATGTACTGTACATGTTTGAGGGTTTACATGCAAAATCACTGTCTCCTTCATACCTTCCAGCTCTTCTGTTTATAGTCAGGTAATGCCACTGGCCATCATGATATTGTTTATTAGATTTCCACATCTTATCGTTGAAACTGAGAATCACGTAGCCATTATCCAATGCAAGATTAATCCCATTAGCCTAGAAAATAAACAAAACAAAACAAATAGTCTTTCAAATTGAGTTCTACTTGTTGTCTCACAGACATCAGAACATAGTTACAACATCAGATGTTAAAATAAATGAGAGTACTGACCTGCTGTTTGTCCTGCAGAATGAGACCCTGATTCTCTGTGCTCTTGAATCCAAGAGAGACAGTAGCGTCGTTAGCCAGGTTAAAGCCATCGAGTTTAGCAGCCAGGTAGCTCCCCAGGCTGAACTCTGCATTGCGAGAGCCCTGTACAAGAACATGGACATTTTACTTCAGTTCTTTAGTTTGGGGAGTGATATGATTGTAAGGGACATGTTGGTAACTGGTTCGGGATGCAAAGATGAATGACCTACCAAAGACTCCAATGGACAATCTTTGCTAACGCCCACCTCTTCATCTACAGCTTTAAAGTCTTTATTCAGCTTCAGATTACTCAAGCATCCTTTGAATGGTTGTATGGTGATGTTATATCTGGGAAAACAAACAGAAAATCAAGTTTTTCCTCACTGCAGTGGGAAAAGGTTGACTGCTAATTCACAACACATAATAACAATTAAGAAGGAAATTGATAACCTCATACCTTTCCCTGACGTCTTGTGGTGCGCCACCAATATAAAATTCTTTAAATTCATCAGTGTTGAATTCAGCTTGGGCTGCAGCCATTTCACCCTCAGTGGTTGTGCGGGCTAAAATTTTTCCAGTTTTTTGGAAAATGATGAGGATTTCTGTTAACACATTTACCTGAAGCAAGGAAAGAGGTGCAAGATGCAGGTTGAATGAATGTTTTTTTTATTTATTTATCAGTGTCATCTGGTTGAGCAGTAGTAATTTTTTAGGAAGAACCTGAGTGATTGCAGAAAACAAAAAAAGTTGATTACCGAGAATTTCTTGTTATTTGTAGCTGGTGAGTTAATCAAATTACTACGTATAAAAATGAAGCCCTTCTCCATCGTCACAGTGAAGTATTTGTCCTGTGTTAAAGAGGGTGAAAATAATCAGGTTCTTGCAAACAATGCACATAATTTGGTTTCAAATGCATGAAAACATAAAATATAAATGCAAAATATACAAAGTAAAATAACCATATGAACAGTAATTTACCTCAGTTCCCATGTACAAGAGCAGGCCATTTTCTAAACGAGTTAATATGGACATGCTGATGAGGACGTTGGAAGATGCTTTATCTATAACCACTTTGCTGTATCCAGTGCCTTCATAGTAGGTAGAATCCTTTGGCGGTACATATCTAGATGGAGGGGAGAATCACTTTTTAAAGTCAGTGTTAAAAGTTCTAAAATGCTTTGCAAAAATTTTCCACTTGCCAAATTTCCTTAATAACAACATGTATCATTTAAAATTATGTTTCTCTTTGTTGTCTTGAAGGCCTTTCATTCTGTCTCCTTTTGTAAACCCCTAAACTCCTTTTTACTAGGGATGTCCCAATCCAATTTTTTTGGCCCCGATATAGATCCAATTTCTTTAATATTACATAGCTGCTGATACAGAATCCAATCCAATACTTTTCCTACATGAATGTTCATTAAATATCTGACATATTAAAATTAATCAGTCATATTGTATTTTTCTGGAGCTGGGACAACACATCTCTACTTCTTTGGTCACAGCGGGGCTGGAGCCTATTCTTGCAACCATCTGGCAAAAGGTAGGAAAAATTCTTGGACAGGTTACCAAACTAATCCAGGGCTGACATGCTGCCAAGTAAAAGGCTACAGCCAAGATGACCATGTGTGAGGAAACACCCAGGTTATTACAAAAAAAAATAAATAATAATCTACAGAAATAGGGGAGGTCCTATAAGGCATAGTTTAATACTGTAAGTTGTTAAAGAGAAGACATACAGGCATTTTTTTTAAATTAAAAATGTGTTGTGTTCAGCTACTCTAATCATGATGTACCTCTTGCATGGAGTCTCCAAATTAATTTTCTCTGCATGTTGGAAATTATAGAGACTGACGATTTTGTCATTAAAGGAGGAGAACTCAATGCAGCCATCATACATGGGGTAGTTGAGAAGAGCTGGTGGCTGAGGAGAAGCAGAGCAAAGAAAGATCAATCCAACTTGTGCTAGTTTAAATAAAAAAATAATAGCATTGCTGCTCTTGTTTCATTGCTTCTTACAGTGAAGTTGGAAGGGTAGCCGCCAACATAGAAAACAACATCACCGGGGCTGAGGTCCAGAAGGTTCTTATTACTGTTTCCCTGCTGACTGTTCTGAATTGGGTCCTTTGGTGTGGTTGAGGAGATATCTTTGGTGAGGATCATCTCTGCATCTTGATAAATTCTAAATTATAAGAAAGAAAACAAAATCCATGTTTTTATGATACCTACAACCCTGCCATTCTTCACAAAGCTCCTGGTCTTTTTCACTTCAAAAAGACAGAGAGGGCGATGTAATAAGTCACAGTGGATAATTCAAGGAAATGAATAATAAATGTCTATTTATATATTCAGTACAACACTAAATTACAAGTGTCACGTTACCTGTGTAGGTCCACTCTATCAAACCTGGCCGACTCAGGAGCAGACCTGGTGATGTAACCCGCTTTGATCTGGTACTCTTCTCCGTTGAGCTTGTACACACCGAACAGCACGTTGTTCTTCAGATACATACCTATGTAGTTCTTAGAAGACTACAAAACACAGTTTGTTAGTGGCTTGTGTGGAATAACGAGTCAAATCTTGAACTCAAAATATTAATTCTGTATGCATTGGGATTCACTTACATCTCTGCTGCCAAGGTACAACACAAACATGTCTCCGCTGGCTCTGGCCTGTCTGCGTCTGCGTCTATTATCTCCACTGCCTAGGGGTCTCTGCAGTGACAGAGACAGGGCTGTATAGGCCTTCAGATCCTCCAGATTCTTCGGTGGTCGCAACTCTACATGACCTTCCCCTGTAAACTTCATCGGGATCACAATCTGGAGAGAAGACATGATAAAGTGAAATCAGAGCCAATGAGGAAAGACACTACACGGAGTATGTGTCTGGGCTTTGACAGCAGAATGGACAGTATATGGGTAAATATGGATGTATCTACAGAGTAGGGGCCTCACCCTGTTAGCTGCGTCCCGGGCTTGTTCAATGAGCTCTTTGATCTTCTTGATGTTCTCAGATACATTGCTGATGGGTGAAAACTGTGTGGTCAAGCTCTCCACCTCTGAGATTTTTTTATTCAGTGATGGGATGGCATTCAATAAATCCTTCACTGCATGGAGGAGAGTCACAAAAATATTGATGTATAAAAGTGTTTTTACTTTTAATCCCAATCACCTGTAACATAAAAATGGTTATTATGTACCATAAAAAGTATTGACACGTGTATGTAACATTTTTTTAGCTTGCCTGTCTTGTCCACGCTGTCCAGTAGACCATCTACGTTGGAGTCTACAGGTGTGATACTGATCTTGGCAATTTCCTTTTTGATGGCATCCAGTTTGTCCATAGTGTTGCTGGCTGTGTCATTGGCTAAAGCTGACTTCCTCTTGGCTTCATCAATCATATTACCAATGTCGTCTGATTGGGAGAAGAAGGTGGAAATATGACCTCTGGTAATAGACTCAGGCACAATCAGTTTAACAGTAATGCTAGTCATATAATGTTTTGACTTTGTTTACCTCTTTTGATGTCATTCAGTTGGTTCTGTGTATCAAGCAGATCTTTCTCAAGAGCTTTCTTCTTACTGTCAGCATTCTTCAGGCGCTTCTTCAGCTCATTAATGTCATTGGTAGAATCTGTGACAGAGAAATAAGGATTAGAAACTGAGCTACAAGGTCACTTTTAAAATAACCCTCTAAGAGAGCTGAATACCCTGAAGGTTTTCCTTTGCCTCCTGCGCATCCTGCAGCAGGTCGTCACCACTCTGCTTCAGATCTTTTGCTCGTTCTGTGAGCTTCTGGTTCTTTACATTCTAGAGGAAGGAGAAACATACTGGTAAAAGTAATTCAGTATTCTAAAATGCTTTTAGTTACTCTAAAGAAGTGAGTAAACTTACATAATGCATTAAAAAAATCAAGTCTGTGACTTACATTCAAGGCATTCTCTGATGCATCTTTGGCCTCGTTAGCCGCAGCCTCAGCAGCATTAATGGCATCTGTGATGTTCTTGTAGGCTTCGATTGCGTCTCTGGCATTACGCACTTCTGTACGTCCACTTGCATTCTTCACAGTACTATTGTTCAAGATAACGAGGGAAGAAAAGAAACTCAAGACATAAGAAGAATGAATGGATTCAAATGACAGGTGTCTTGAAACCAAGGCATACTAGGCTGAATAATTTACTAAAATCCACTCATTATATCTCAGGTTATATTTAGATAGTGTGTCTTTGTTGTATGCATAATACACCTACTCCTCTAAATCCTTTGCCAGCTTGTCCAGTTCCTTAGCATGTTTCTCTGCAGCCACCACAAGGTCCTCGTGGCCTGCTGCCTTGGAAATTTCATTCACCTTTGCGGTCAGGTTCATCTTGGCACCATCCAGCTGTGCTGCCAGCTGTTCATAATCCTACAGAGCAGATAGACAGGTAAATGGGTTATTCATAACAGCAGGAAATGCCTTTACTCACTTCAGAGCACAGTAAGCAAAGACACTGATCAGTATCTGTGTGGATGGTGTGTTAGGACGTGACAGTGTACTGGTGAGGGATCAGAGATGAGGTGGGTGATAACAACATAGCTACCGTGTGTCAAAATGTTTTGACTCATGTTGAAAAGCAATAAAATACAAGATATCTATTGTATAATTCTGAGTACAGAGAATAATTGAGGTATAAAAGATGCAGACAGTAGTTGGTCAAATACCTTTTTACTGTCGGTGAGCATTTTCACCAAATCCTCCGTTTTCTGCAGTTCATTCTCTGCTATGGCCATTTGGTCCTCAACAGTCTTACGCTCCTTTTTTAAGTCATCGATACGTTTCTGTAGCGAGCATATGAATCACTTTAATTAGAGAACAACTGTGTAATAACTACAACCTGTACAGCAATAATACTTACAGGGTATTCTCTGTTTATATAATACCTCATTAAACCCTTCATGTATAAAAGCCCTTTTATGTTATACACCACTATACAGCACATCCTGAATCATCATTTACTGTATGTGCTGTTTGTTTATGAACAAATGCATAATCTTATGTATACCAGTGATCCTCATTACACTTTATTTCCTTGCTAATCATTGACCAACAATTACGTATTTCTCCTAAAAACTGCCTGGCTTGTTAGTTATTACCTGCAGATCGTCCATTGCCTTAGTGTTGAGTCCATTTTGGGCATTGGCTGTTTTCACCAAGTCTACGGCCTCCTTCAGAGCCTTGTCCAGGTCCTTCAGCTTGGCCTCGTAATTGTTAAGAAGCCCCCGAATCTTCTCTGCTGCAGCCTCATTCTGGTCACACTGCTTACTAACGTTTGCCTTGATGTAGTCGAGCACTGGAGGGTAAAACAGAATAGGGTAGGTGAATGCCAAAGTTACTGACCAGTCTGTAATGATGTTGAACTTTTCTCTCCAAACAATCATCAGGGATTATGTACAGTATGGCCACATCAGTGCTTTGATCAAACTATTTTGGAGGGGTTTGCTCTCCATCAAAGTTCTGGAAAAACTAACTGGATTTCCAACTATAAGACTACATGCAAGCATCGTACGTTTCATGGCCTCGTCCCTTTCTTTCTCAGCAGCTGTCTTCTGAGGGGTGAAGTTCCTGTTTTCCATGTCCTTCACCATGCGCTGAGCTTCTTTTAGCATTTTATCAAGGCTTTCACTGGGCACAATCCCACCGCTGGTGCCATCCTTCAGCTGGTCCAGCAGAGCTGAAAACACACATTCGAGCAAATATTTAGGCTCTGACCGTCTGTGCCATTAAACTTTACTGGAGGCTATGATACTATCTATACACCAAATTGCTAATTAGCCAATAATCATTACTTAAAGCAGAAGAGAGTAGGAGGTGAAAAGGAAATTGAGAACAAGTTATATGTCACCAACAGACAGAATGGCCACTAAATTTGTTTCCCTTTACCTTGGATTTTTTTGAGCATGTTTTTAATCTCCAAGTCCAGATCCTTGGCGCTCTTGTATGTTTCCCCTACTTGTGCCACTGCCTTGTCTGCATCAGCAGCCGTTTTATCTGCCTAAATAAAAGCAAATACAGACAATATTCATTTAGGCACACTTTCCCACCTACTACTGCACACTGATATGTTATTATAAATACTAGGAAATGGCTCAAGCACTACCTTATCTTTGAGGGCGTTGATGTCATCTGTGAGAGTGATTGTGTCCGTGTTCAGCTGGTTGACTCTGGACTGCTGGGTGTTGATGGCAGAGCTGAATTTGTTGACAAGACTCTGCAAAAAGCACAGTAGCAGAAATGTTTGAGCTGCATAAAGGCAAATTCAGACTGTAGAGCTAGGTAGTGTAGTGTCCGGAAGATCGAGGCTGATAGGGCTGTTTTCAGAGAGTGCTGTGGGAATTGTTTACATATTTATTTACACTGAGATTATGAGAAACAGCAATATGGTAACAAAAACACTGCCATCCAGTGGGGTGATCGCTAACTCTTTTATTTTGGGTGTCCTTTTTGCCTTCATTACTTGGTCACAAAGAGGCACACAGGAAAGATAGAGAGAGGGAGACCTGTGACAAATTTCTGTAGCAGGAGTCAAACCACTGAAGTCATGTGTATACATTAATGGAACCTCGGCAGTAATTCAATTCTTTCAAAAAGTACACATATCTAGTGTATGTGTGTATATATGTGCACTGTATGTGCAGGAGATGGCCATTTGCAAAGTGCAAATTATAAAAAGAAATGCATCTCATTGCGCTTATGATCACGTATCTGGCTTTGTTCAGCATCGGACCAAATTTCATTCGGATCTGACCCGTATCTATTTAATGCATATTTTCTGCCATAGCTTGGCCTATAATAAAGATAGAACCCTGAAATGTTCAGGTAAGATGTACAGTATAACTGTCTATCATACTTTAAAAGATGATCAGGATGCAATCCAGATTTAGAATTTTAGGACACATTTTATATTGTTCTGGATCTCATAAGGGACCCATTTGCATGAGTGAATGTTATGCCTTGGCAGAGGTACATGTGCTCTCTGAGTGCTCTTTTCATAATTTTTTATATGTTTAACCCCTGTCTGTAGCCTTCAGAGTTAGTGAGCAGGGATACCTTGGTATCTGCCACAGCTTTCTCCAGCTTCTTTAGCCGGTCTTGAGAGGAGGCACTGGCAGTGACTTTGTCCAGCTCAGCCTTGATCTTTACCAGCTCATCATCCAGTTTCTCCAGATCTTGCAGTAACGTTTGGGCACAGTTATCACACTCTGGAATACAAAAGGACTAGTTTTACAAAAAAATTATATCCTATTTATTATAAGCTGCATGTTATAGTTAGACCTCCATTACCATGGCAGTCGTCTGTGTCTATGTCTCCTGGCTCCAGTGTGTTCTTGCAAACTGCAGAAACATTTACACTATAAATATATATAAATGTTTAAAGGAGGCAAAGGAAATGGACTATAACGTAGCACAATCCAACAGTGAGTTAAGACTGTTTATAAAATGAAAGTCCACAATCTAACCTCCAGTCTGGGGATCACAGTTGTTACCATTGCCATTGCAATTACAGGGTCTACAACTTCCTCCTGGCCTCACTGGATCACCATAGTAACCAGGAGCACATCTGTGGGAAAAAGAAATAGGTATCATAGAATAAATGTAAAAAGAAAAATAAGTCTACAGTATTCCAGATTGCGCAGTGTTTCAGCATCATTACATAGACAGACACTCACCTCTCACAGCTATCACCGGTGTAACCTGCTCTGCATATACACTGGAATTTTCCAAAGACCTCACTGCAACCTATTGCAAAACTGCAGATTGATAGGGAAATTATGATTTAATTACCGAATTACACATTTCCATTTAATTATGATACAGCTGTTTAATGGTGTTTTTTCCACCCACCTGTTCGTGGGTGTGGCAAATGGGCACGGGCACACGCTGCATGTCCTCTTAGCTGCGTTTCCATAGTAACCTTCTTTGCAGCGTTCACATTGGTCCCCAGCTGTGTTGTATTTACAGTTCTGGAAATTATATATTGTATTCATTCAACCACTTGCAGACTATATGCGAAGAAGTGAAGGTGGGAAGAAGGAAAGTACCAGATAAACTGAAGTACTGTATGTGCTCTGCAGCTAGTCTTGCAAACAAGTGTTGCACAGATTCAATCAAACAGTCTTTTATTACAGTGAAGCGGGATTGCATAAGTCTAGTGGCGAATAGAAAACACATTTTCTTCAGTGAGTTCAGTGGTTTTCACTGGGCTGCTAGGGTGTGGATCCATGTGTGCATTGCACACACAGGCCTGGTCTTGAGTGTCTTACGTAACAATGGCACAACAGAGATTCTGAAATGTCTAAAGCCTCCTAACAAGAAGAATAATGAGCAAGAGGGGCCCATACCAGGAAATCAGAAAGCCATATCAAGCAGAACTTCTGATAAAAACTGTGCCTATAGAGGTGAGAGAGCCAGACTCTGACTAAACTATAGCTCTCACTGGAGTCAGCTGTGCTACAGTAATCAGTCTCCTTTAGGTGCATATACAGTAGGTTTATATACTTATGGTCAATGAGTGAGTGAGTTTCTTACCAGACACCTCCCTGTGCTGTCTTCACACATATCAGCCAGACCGTTGCACTCACAGGGCACACACTGGCCCACGTAGGGCCCACTGCCATCTCTGTAGAAACCAGGAGCACATTTCTGAAAGAAAATCACAAATTGAAAAACATGGTTACCTGATCAAAAAATTCAAAAACAACTTATTAGAAAAAATGGCAGGCTATAACCAAACAAGAGGGTCTGCTTTTAGCTAAGCCAGTGATCTGTAAATCCCTAAAAAAAATTACGATCCTTTATCTCTTGGTGAAAATCAGTCCTGCTCCACAATTTGCCACATTGGATGTACCTACAACTATTAGGAATATAAAGAAAAAATAAACCTCTCATAAATCTTTCACTGCTGACAAATTTCTGATAACCTTAAGTTATATAATTTTCATATTGCCCAACCTTGAGTGATACCATTTACAAATGTATAACTAGTGATACCCATTAGCAGCAAGTCTAAACATAAACTATAAACACAGCATTTGCTTTTTTAAATCAGTGTTTCTAGAAACTTTTGCTACCATTTACAGAGAATGATTAACAGCTTCTCTCCCAGTCAGCACCTCTGTTTTGTGTAACATGAAGTCTGACAATTTGCAGGGCACACAGACCTAACCTGACCTAATTTGAAGAGTCAGACCCTGCCGTTTGCTTTCCGAGACAACAGTCTTCAAGTCACTAATTAACCACTTGAAACTTGTACAGCTCAGATAAAATAAAATCTCTTCAACAAGTTGATGTGTCACAGATTTTCACAAATATTTACCTGAATCTGGGAACTGGAACCATTGTCATTAAGGGAAGGATATTGAACTGTCTGTCCTCTGTCATTCACCAAGGGGAAACGTACCCCTTGAGTGCCCTGGTCATTTACTGACGGATACTCTATCCGCTGAGTGCCCTGGTCATTTACTGATGGATACTCTATCCGCTGAGTTCCCTGGTCATTTACTGATGGATACTCTATCCTCTGAGTCCATCTGTCATGATGCCTAGCGTAGCGAGGTCGCTCTTCTTTCTTGAAGGGCCGGTTGCCAGCAAAGCAAAGTCCAATCAAAGTCCAAAATATCAGGGTCTGTAGCAGAACCCCTGTACGCCACTGTCTAGCCATACATGTAGCTGACATCACTAACGTTTCGTCTGTGTGAAATAATGCTCTACTCTCCCCTACCTCGGCCTCTTAAATACACATACCCACGTACACACACATGCAGAGAGATGAAGGCACACCCCATCTTGAGTCAGTCCTGCACATCAGCATGAGTGTAGCAGACACACAAGCACACACATGCATGGGTTTCCTTGCTCTTTGTCTCCTTTTCTCTCATTCTCTCTCTCTCTTTCTCACCACACACGCACACACACGGACCCAGAATTGTTGGACATATCCAGATATTTAGACAGTCAAGTGAGGGCACATGCATGAGCGTGCACACATAGGAAATTCACCATTAGCTTTTCTGAACAGAGAAAAGAAAACTCACAATCTTGTAAATGCTGCTGTGTTTACTTAAAGCTCAAAGGGTATGGTGATACAGCTGCTCTGGGAAGTGAAACTTTCAATAGTGTATTTAATATTCCGCAACATTCTCTGTGTGAGAGTGAGTGTACGTGGTTTCTAACAGTGTTTGTGCAAGCATATGTGACGGAGAGGAAAGTCAGACACCCCAGACAACAAACTCACACCTGAATCACGCTCCTCAAACACACAGCAGGTACAACTAGGCGTGTCAGCTGCACTTACACACACACACACTCTGTTGGCGTATTCAGGTGAACGCACTGAAGTTTATGAGTAACACTGTGCTACAAACTGCCACACCTCATGTCAGGGTGAGGCGAGTCACACTGCCTCTGGGCACATATAATCAATAACTTTGAACACTCCCAGTCCCACTGGTTGGTAACCACATCTATGGCAACGGCAAACAAGAAAGAGTTTTTTAAAAAGGTTTTTTTATATTATTGTTTTTATCCACTAATAAATTACCATTTTCAGTTTTGTTCTCTAGGCAAAACTTCTGCAATCATGTGGAAACAAATCAGATCTGAGAAGCACAAACACACTGGGTCAACTCAGTACAATTCCCAGGATAAAAAGAACTGAAGTAAAGCCTTTCCTTAGTGACTGCAGCATGTTTGCACTACATTTCTATTATAGCTGTAGAATCACTAATATTATGTCTGCATGACTGCATGATTGTGCATCACATCCCAGCCTGAGGCAACACAATTTGTCTACGCAGCTCTCCAGCTGGTATTTTCCAGTACATTCCAACCAAGTCTCCTTACCAGATGAATTTTTTTCTTCAGGAAAGGGTGTGGTACTTGTTTAAGGCATGTCAGGACACCCTCAAAATATGAGGAGGTGGTCCAGCTCCACTGTCAACACATTGCCCCAACCTGCTTGTTATCTCCACTGACAGAATGGTCCGAGTCTCCCCCTCCAGTCACCAATCTTTTCAAGAAAATCCAAGAGTAGCAGTATCTGGGCATGCTTAATGACCTTTCAACTTCTCACCTCACAGGAGTCTCCGGTGTACTGAGGGGGGCAGGAACAACTCTCCACAGTGTTTGCTGGACCTCCAGTCCCTGTGGTGGTGGCCTCCTCCAGGCCAACCTCACCTAAGCTGAGCCGCTGGCTCTGAGTGAAGTACAAGGCTCGGATCCTAAGGCCCACCAGGCCGGCTAGGACCATCATCAGTTCCTCTCTGGACACCGGCCTGTTGGTGATAGCATGGCGCCAGTTTCCCTGCAGGCAACAGGCAAGTTATTTGAGGAATAATGCTGAAAAATATGTCAGGGGAAACTCTATTCAAAAATCACTTTTCATTAAATTTTAATGATATTAAACAGGAAGAGTACCTTATATTAATCCAGTGTATTTCTCTGTCAGACCAACACTTTGCTGAGAGTAACATATCTGAACTGCTGCTAGCCAATTTTGTATAAATATTTGTGGTTCCTAGAAGATGACTCCTTATGTGTTTGGTTTCCCCTAGCACAGAGGATGTCAGAGGAAATATATTTTTTATTGTAACCATTTAACAGGTTTGCCACTAGCCCCCATCTCAGGCTTAAATTTTCATTCCACATATAGATATATTATAACCATATAGTCTAATAAGAAACCTGTTGATCCCACTACTGGTAAGACTAAAAACAGATAAATCATTGCTAACTAGTTAATCCCATCCAACACTTTCATACCATGTGGTTGAATTAAAAACACAAACTTTGGATCTGAAGTCAAACAAAGGAACTGGGGTGTTTACAGTACCTCCACGAGCCTGACTCGGCCCTGGTACACCCTATCTGGAAGTGGCATTTGTGGAGCCATGTGGGCTAGAGTCATATCCTGACCCTAGGGAGAAATGATGATATGGTTAAATAAGCAGTGCTTCTGCCCAGTGAGAAAAGAGCAGTGTAGGAGTGAAGGAACTAGTAGCATTACACACAGTCAGCACAACATCAGGTCTTCTGTCCATCAGAGTCATGCCCTCACTGGGAATTCCAAAGGATTTGGACTGGTAGGTGAGAAAACCACCATAAGATGAAACCTGCAGTAAAAATAAGGGAGAAAGTCTGTCATCTTATCTGAAGGTATTGCAGAAACCACTGCAATATAGGATTTTCCCCCAAGAAACAATTTGTATTTATGCTACCCAGGTTTTATTTCTCAGATACACAGTTGAAGCCATCATTCCCATCAGTCATGATGGCATTTACCTAAAAATCAAATTCCTAATTTTTTTAGGGATATTTTAACATTACAAAAGACACAAGATAAGGCAAATAAAAATACATCTCCACTTAAACTGATTTATCTGAGCATTCTTGTTGCTTTGGCATTCTCTCCCTCCACTGACTCACCCTGTCTCCCAGGTAGGATGGTGGTGCCACCCAGTGTAGAGTCTGAACTGTGGAAGAAAGCTCCTGGATGTCTGCCACCACTGTGTTACTGGCTGTGTTCAGCACAGAGGGAATCTCCTCCTGGTCAGGACTTTCCAAGCGCCAGCCCTGCATCTCAACAAACTAACAACAGGGAGTATAGGGGCTTAAACCAAATACTGTTTGTTCTGTGTTATTCCAAATATTATTGACAGTACTATTAGTAAAATACGACCATGTGGACAAAGGTTGAGATCAGAGCAATAAAATGTGACTGTATAACGTCATGAGACAATCTTTGCAATTTGGACTATTCAAGTAGTAACATTAGAGCTCCACAGCTAAATGTGAATCATAAAATGTGCCATGACTGCAGTGCAATAACCACGGTGAGGTATGTTGGGATCTGTTATGCCACTGTAGGTCCTTTTCCTGAACAACACCTGTATATGCAGCTTTCATTAAACAAACAACACTGTTCGCCACAGCAAACACACACCTTCGCCCTGCGTTTGCTAGAGCTCTGACACTGGTCAGTTGCCCCGAAGCAGAAGCAGCTGGTGCAGCCATGAGGGTTGGAGGGGTCAAAATAAAAGGAACCTTCCCGGCAGGTATCACACCTGGGGCCGGCGACGTTTCTCTACAAACATGGAAACGATAACAAAGAGGAGGTCAGAGCAAGGAAAGGCAAATAAAAAATTGTAACAAGGAAGTTTTAAATCAGCAGTTTGATGTAACAAACTCACTTTGCAGAGACACCTCCCTGTGTCCGGGTGGCACACGTCAGGTGTGACACCACCTCGATTACAGTTACAAGGTACACAGTCAGGGAAGCGATAATAACCTGCAGCACAGCGATCGCACTGACGACCCCCAATCCTAGGCTTGCAACTAAGCAAAAACACACAGACGCATTGTTTTTTAATAATGTTTTAGATGTCCTATGGGGTTCGTAGATTTATAGAGTCAAATATTAGCAAAAACACTGACATCACACAGCTTATTAAAAAAAGCAAAGTGCAGTGCTGTCATATTGCATGCATTAGTGTTCAGTGTGTTGTTTTATGCTGGTATTTGTTTATGCACTCCTATTGTTTCTTTATAAACAAAGGTATCAGCTGAGTGATGGATCTGACGCTGACACTGGAAACCTACATGACAGAAAAGACAATCAACCTGACTAGGCTGCGTACAGTACTAATAACCTCATTAGTCACTTTAAGTGGTTTGGTGTCATGTTTCACCACCACTGTTTCAAGCTACAGGTCCTCTGCCATTAAAAAAAAATCATGATGTATGAAAAAAGATTTAATTGAGAAATGTTTTACTTTTTTGTGAAAAACTGTTTTGCTTTTACTTCAGGTGACAGCTCTGTAATATGACAATACATCTTTTAAAATCCCTACCTGTTAGTATAACACACACAATTTGTTTCTCTTTACTCATTTCAGTAATAAATCCTAAACTCCAGCCTTCGTGGGTGAACAGTGTTTTCTAGGTTTCCACTCACCTGCACTGGCCAGTGATGCGGTCACAGTCGGGTCCTGATTGGATGCCATTCGGAGAGCATTCACAGCCCTCACAGCCGAGCAGAGGGTGATAGCTGAAAGTCTGGTCCTGACACACGTCACAGGCTGGTTTGACCGTCTGAGGAGGGCAGATACAGCGTCCTGTCACCTCGTCACACAGTCGGCGACCACACTCACATGCTGCAGGAGAGAGAAGGGATTTTATCAGGTTAAATACTGTTCATGAGCAAATTTCATACTGACTGTAAGTTAGAGCGTAGTAGTTTTGCATATGTGTTCCTGAAGCATATCCAGTATAATTTCACCTGCCAATTTGTCAAAAGTAAATGTTTTCTTACGTCTGCAGTAGGGGAAGCCATAGTAACCCGTTGCACACTTTATGCACTGTCGACCAATGATGTGCTGCCTGCATGGACACTGTCCTCCAACTGGGTCACAGGTGGTCCCTGTGGAACCAGATGTGTCACAGTTGCAAGGCAGAGCTCCGCTGTTATACGCTGCTACAAGGGAGCGGGCAGAGTCTCTGCAGAACTGTGAAGAAGTTCTGGGGCTGAAGAAACAGAAAACTAAAATAAGTTCATTCAAATGCAGATGTGGTTTAATACTCAACTATCACAGCAAGAGGGCGCCATTTACAGAAACCTTTACTGTACTGTTTATTATTGCAATACTTCTTGACTGGTATTGTTGAGGGATAAATATATCATAGATTTAAAAAAGAAGGGCATGTAAAACAAAGCAAAGAAACAACTTATCAGATCATTAAAAAGGATCTGAGTACAGCCTGTTTTATAGACATGTTGCAAACTTACTCAATATAGAACCCTTCTCCTCTGCATAGCTGTGTGAAATCTGCAGACTTATCCAGTGGCTTCTCTTTCAGGAGAGCTGGAGAGTAACTGCTATCAGGAACCAACAAGATATAGTTCTACATAAAAAACAAAAACCATATCAAATTATTTAAAAATACAATCTCACCAAAAACTTCCCTTTTAGTTTGTTTTGTACTTAATCCTATTTAGCAGTATAATGCAGAGAGTGGTAAATGTAGGATCTGAAATGTTTTAGCCACAGTTGTCTGTTTATCTGAAGAAAGCGATCAACAAGCAAATCCAACCTGCCCCGGCCTTACTGAGGTTGGAGGCTTAGCTTTTATAAAGCTTTTTGGTGCTGCCAGGTAGAATACAGTCCCTTTATTGTTTTTGTTAGGGGTATGGCATTACACTGAGGAGAGAGGACCTCAGCATGCCAAATCCTCTTTGATTGTTTTCCCATATTTCTAAAATGTAATAAAATTAGTGGGTGAACATAATATAGACATTGTTTGACTTATCACATAAACCACTGACCAGAATAAGGGTCTTCCTAGGTGGCACAATCACAGAGATGCTGGGCGGCCGCCAAGAACTCTGGTCAAAGTCAAGGGCAATGTGCCCATTTGCAATAACAACCTTCCTGCAGCCCGAGAGTGCAGGGCAGAAGGATGCATTTATTAAACCTGCAAGAGAAAAGCAGAGTTCAAGTTTAGTGAAGAATGAGACGTTTGCACACTGCACAATAATCCGCCCCTCCATTAAAGCCATATAGGGAAGTGTAGCTAAGTCGTTTGATCATCTTGTTAGGAGCTCTTAAAGAAGAATCGCCCCCTCACTGAGAAGGCCTTCCCAGTCACTGCAAGAGTAATCATGCTTTTACTGCATCCAAAAGGAGCTGATGAATTCTTTAATTCTGTTTGATCAGACAAGAGTGATCCTACGACTTCCTCAAAAACACTCCCCCCTCCAGTCATGCCCTGCATCCACTCTGACCTCCACAG